AGGGTGCTGTGCTGCCAGTAATGGGAGAAGATGTGGGGACACGGTGACTGTGGCAGGGCCACCCCTGGGCACAGGGTTGACTGTGGCCCTTCGTGCCTCAGTTTCCCCCAACCTGTGGGAGCTGGCCCAGTGTGGGGCAGAGGGAGGGCAGAAATGGGGGAGTGAGGCCTGTGCCTCAGTTTCCCCAGGGCCAGTACCTCGCTAAGCTGCAGCCTTCACCTCCTCTTCCCCCCAAAATAGGTGTGAGGTGAGCCAGACCCAGCCTGGCCACCTTACGGTGGGGACACCAGCAGCACCACAGCCCCCTGTCACATTCCAGCCGCTCCCATCCCGCCCAGTGGCACCAGCTCTGCACCACCCCCTGGGGCCACAGGCTACAGGGAAATAAAAATAATAAGAATTTTTACTGAGTTATTAAAAACGATGTGAAAATACAGCTTAGGAGGAGCTGGGGGGTCACCGCTGTCCCCCCACAAGACATGACGGCCCAGGCAGGGGCACAGGGCCACCCTGCAGGGGACACAGGGCTGGGGCTGAACCACAGCCACCCCTCACCTCCAAGATTTTTGGGCGCCAGGGGGACCCCAGTTGCAGGGATGATTTCACCCCCCATGGGTGTCCCAGAGCATCACAGCCACCCCTCCACGCAAGGGGACCACCCGTGGGGACGCACACGGGCTGTCACCCCCAGCACTGCGGTGGCATGTCACCACTCTCTGGCACGTCCCATGTCCCCTCCTCCGGCAGGTTCACGGGGACACCTGCCCTCCTCCAGAGCCCCCCACCCTGTGCAGGGCTGGAGGCAGAGGAGGGCATGGGGCTGCCCTTTGGCCTCACCTGGGGGGTGGCACAGTGGGGACTGCCCCCCGTCACAGGACACTGTCCCACCACAAGGCCACCAGGTCCCCAGAGCCACCACATCCCCAGCAGGCAGGGAACGATACTGCACCCAGCTCTGTGCTGCACCGGGGGAAGCCTTAAAATTAACAAATAACAAATACAGGGGGAGGCAAGGGGGAGCCCACCGTGCCACCGCGCCCCCGGCGTGGGGACAGCCGGCTGCTATGTGCCGCTCTCCTGGCGCTGCTGCAGCAGCTGGATGACCTCGGCGATGCCCTCCTCCGGGACCTGCGGGGGGAACAGCGCGGGCGTCAGCCCTGAGGGGACACCCCGAGGGTGGCCGGGGGTCCCCAGGGAGGGCCGAGGGCTCACCAAGGCGTGGTCGAAGTTGAAGGTGCTGATGTAATACGCCGAAATGTCGGCAGCAGCCAGCGGCTCCGCGATCTGAGCCACGATGCCGCATTCGTCTGGGGGGGCAAAGGGGCCCTGGGGTGAGCAGTGTCGGGGGGAGCATCACCCCAAAGCACCCTGACCAGGGGGTGGTGGCA